GGATGAGCATATATGCAGCGGAAGTCTGATAAACGGACTGACTCACATAGACTGACTCCACACACATACAATTGTGAGGTGGTGGGGTCTGAGCCATACATAGAAGATGCTCAGCCCCGTACACACATACACAGATGAATGGGGGAGGAGAGACGAAGAGGTGGGGGGAGGTAGACAGCACCGAAAGTCACCGAGATAGAATCTGATAGGTTACCGATATGGTAGTCCAAAATGTCATCCAACAAGATCAAAATGTCGAGGACCATAGGTCACCAATGTCGGGGATACAGAGTCCAAATGTAACCGGTGTCTGAACTGTGATGTCGCCAAGTATCAACCCCAACGATCTCCAAGTCTCCAATCCGGTAAGTACCACAGTCTCATACCACCGAAGTCCAACACTGATCTCGGTCCAACTAGTATAAGTCTCCAATCTGAAGAAGAAGAAGAAGAAGAAGAAGAAGAAGAAGAAGAAGAAGAAGAAGAAGGAGAAGAGGAGCCGAGGAGGAGAGAGAGAGAGAGGGGACTGGCGATGGGAGGGAGGAGAGAAGCCTCCAACTCCCAATACCTCAGGCGGCTATGGCCGCCGGTAACCCAGTCGCCGCTGCTGCTGCGCTGTTCCTTGCTGCTCCTGCGCTAATCTTAGCGCCAGCGCTGTATCGCGCTGTACCATACCATACCGGTAGAATGCCGGTAGGTCGATGCCTCGAAGTGAGGCCGGACCAGTACTAAGTACTGGTTCGAAGAGGACCGGCCTCACTGCTGCGAGGCCTTGGTTGGGGCTGAACCGTCCAGATCGACGATTCAGGTCCAACCGGAGAGCGGCAGCCTCAAACGGCGCCGTCAGGCCCAAAGACGAAATGTCATTTGGGCCTGGTCCGTAGTCGGGTCCAAGTCGTGGCCTTTCGGCCTGTTATCCCCCAAGGTCGGGCCTTTAGGCCCTGATGTGTCCCTCTAGCCCTAAGTCGGGTCCGGTAGGACCCGTGTGGTGTCGAAGATGTAACACTTGGGCTCTACCCATGGGGCCTGTAGAGAATGCTTAAGGCCATCCCCCGAAGTACCAGCACGACAGGGCTCGTGGAAATATGTTTTAACCAGGGTTGAACGGGGTTCCTGCTTAGCGCTGGAGACTGCATCCGCTGCGTGGTCAAGCACCCTGGCAAGATGGTAGAAGGGTGAGTGTCCTGAGTGGTAGACATTGAGGTAGGACTGGGGAAGTGGGGCTGCGCTTGTCCAATCGGCAAAAGGAGGGTGAGTGGAGTCTCTAAGGGTAAGACTCCGAAAAAAACAAAAAAACACCACGTCTTTCACGGTTTGGCCTATGGACTGACATGGCTGGCGCCACCAGGCACACACAAAAAGAAAGTGCTTTCTCCATTTTGTTTCTTATTGGCTTGCAGCCTTGCAGCAGAATCTGCGTTCAATACCCGTCCTCCTTAAAGGGGATGCTTGTATCACCCCGTTAAGCAGGCTCTGCGGTGCATGAAGTCTACCCCAAAAAAAAGAAAAAGAAAAAGAAAAAAGGGAAAAAAGGCTTGGAGGTATTGGTTGGTAAAAGAGTGTGGATGTATACAACCAGTAAGCCCAAGGACGGAGACCTCGACCTAATCAATGCAAAGCCAGAAACGACTGCACAAGCGAAGAAAACAAGGACCCCAATATTATTGACAGATATCAACTGTGTGACAATAATGTACCTGAAGATCTGCCACAATTTCTTCTGTTCTGTCCTTAAGCTTCCCTGTAACCTTCCCCCCGGTTTCCCCAACACCCCCATTTCGCGCCATTTTGTCAGTTCTGCTTCGTTTTTTTTTGTTTTTTTTTTTCAATAAACAACTTGGATCATTTCTCAACTTGTGGGCGTAATCCTTTCACAGGGGGCATGCTTTTTTTCCTTAAAAAGGGCGACGGCCTTGAGGTCGAACTGACCGGCCCTTGGTAATTCAGAATTATAGCACGTCATTCATCTGCTTCCACTGGAGTTTGAACTCGGGTCTGGATTTCAACACTTCAGGGGTGTATCAACTGAGCTTGTCCACTTGGTACACAGAGGGCATGCTAATCCTCTCTATACCCCTCCAATTTCCCCATAATTGACTTCTTTGCTTGGAAACGTGTCATGATGCAATGGTCTCTATGGATAATATCATTAATAATAATTTAATATGGAATTAGTCTCTCATTACATGCGACAACCGGCCTCTCATTGTCATACTGTTGTGATGATGGTTGATGATTGTTGATGATCAACAGTTTGCGACATTGGCATTGGGCGCAAACCACGTTCTTGGAGTGAACAAGAATGGAGAACTTTATGGCTGGGGGAACAATGACAGAGGGCAGGTGATGTTGGCATAAATGCATGGCCAGGGAATATATAACATTTCACACTCTTGTTGTACAAATTAACGAAAAAAAGAAGGTCGAAATTTTACCATGTCCAGTGACGAGGACTCCCACATTGACTGTCTCACAGTGCACGCACAGGCACAGATCATGCATCTGAATGCCTTCTAATCCAGGTACTTTGTGACTGGGGGCAATATTTCAAGTCAATCTGTGATAAGTGATAGACAGTCTGCGAGTGACCCCACACGTGTCACCTGAGTTGGATGTCAACCCTGCCCTCACAGTCTGTTGCAAGGCAATGGGCCTCACTCCACTACACAACACTCTGCATGCATTTGGACCCTTTTTAGACCAGGTGCATTCGGACGAGTCCAATATTGTGAGTGTATCAGGTCCAGAAAGCATCCAAATGCATGTACAATATTGTGTTGTGGAGTGAGGCCCAATGTAGGCACCGATTCACTGTCAAATTGAACAAACTTATTAGCAAGGATCCACTGTCTTGCAGCGGACACGACCCGAGCCAGGATCTCACCAGGGGGACCAGGCTAGATGTACTGTACTTGGAAATACCTTGTACTCGTGTGAACTGTGTGTTTGTCTCTGAGCTTGTTTGCAATTGTTGCCGTTCGTCCTTTGAGTTGGGGGCGCAAAGGCCTAAAGCTTCTTACTGTACCCTGAAGGCCCAAATTATTGGAGCACTGGCCCAGAGGCAAAGCCCGAACTTTGTCCAATAGAAGCTTCCATTCGACATTTCTGGTATTACCATCGAAGCTTCCATTAGGGTTACTTTGGGTCAGTACCCAGTAGAAAGGCCCCACAGGCCAGTGGACCAGCAAAACTTCAAAAGCGAGCTTCCTTTGGGGCATAACACATCATAAGGAGCAACGCCCACCAGGTTGCTTGACTGTCTAGGTTTCATTGGGCGCTGAAGCTGCCGGATGGCAGCATTGACGACTACTGGCCTTGAAGAATAACTCTGCTGATGGTGAACACCCACCATCACCCACACTACTGCATAGGACGTGTGTACTAAGTGGCGCATAACCCATCTGGAGCGAGGTGGAGGCAAGACAAGGGCAAGGTTGTGGGTGCTTGGAGATTGGAGCCTTGGGTGAGATAGAGGACTATCAGCTGTGAGTGGAAGCCTGATTGCCTATTTCATGGAAGGGAGAACTAATAGAAGGGAGACTCATATTGGCAGATAGAAATACTTCAAATAGGAGAGAATTATAGAGCTGGACTTGTGAGATTTGACCGCTTCTTTGCTTAAGCCTTAAGGCCCATATTGCCGATTTATTCCAAAGCAAGGCCAGCACCACATTATTGATCACCAGTGCCCGGCCTATTAGAGAGGTGCGTTTATCATTCCAAGGGGTCATCTTTTCCAACGCGGGTTTCAGAATCCAGTCATCATTTGACGCAGGCCTGCCTACTGCACTCAGCATGATTCCAAGCACCCTGACCGGGGCCGTTTCCGGCAGCCGTGGTAGCTCCGGTGGGCGCACCCCCTGATGGTGGATCCACCACCCCAACGTTTAATTCCGCCAATTGATATGACACGATTGTAAACAGGTCCATGAGGTGCCTAATCTTTTCCATATTCTTGGGGAAGCCATCCACGGTGAGGGTCAGGTCTTCTGCGAACAGTGAGCAGATCAGGATTGCCTTATCGGGGATAGAGGATATCTGTAGTCTCTTGATTTCCTTGTTAGCACGGAGGTTCACCGCCAATGGGCCTAGCTCAGTTTCCCTCCCCCCCCTCCTCTTTTCCTGGGCGTAGCTCAGTTGGTACACCCATGGACTGTTGAAATACAGACCCATGTTCGAATCGAGCTGGATGTATGCGAATCATATTTGTGAATTACCGGGGGGCGGTCAGGTCGATAGTGATATCTCAAGGCCGTCACACTTTCCAGCAGTTCTGTTTTCAAGTTAAGGGCTGCTCTGCACTTAAATGTCACAAATTCACTCAACATGAAACTCTCTTATGCACAGTGCCAGGGTGCAAGGGTGGAGAGGGTCATGTCTCCCCTCCCGAGCTCGTAGTGTGTCCCTTAATAGACAGTGACTGAGTCTGGTTGGACCTTGGCTTTTCCTCTTACCCCTCCCCATTATCTCCTGCCTGCCTGTGTTGAAAATTTGCAGATGGGTCTTGCCTACACCACCCCGATGGAACTCAAGCCTGTTCTCATATCCTCTCTGCTTTCTTCAGATGTGGAAGTTGTCGTCACTGGAGGATATGCATATGAGATGCAGGTATGGTGATTATACCTGGTACAGAAGTAACAGAACTATTGTTTCGACTTCAAGTTTCTAGATCACTGCCCCAACCTCTACATCACTTCTGCGTCATCTGCAGTGTGCCGTCTTTTTTTCTAGACCCTTTGCAAACGGAGGGTTGTCCAGTGTTTGGTGTCCTTGAAAAGTTTGTGACAGGCAGGTGTCTGTGATGTACCAGCATAGGTGCGGAAAACAAGGGGGGCACATGTGCGGCATACCTCTGAATTCATGACTGCTGAGCTGGGGTGTGGTGATCATAGTTGTGTTTCTTGCTGGTGGTGCATGGGCCCGATATTTCATTGGCTGTAACTTTTAAATGATGAGATGTTGAACTGCTGAGCAGTTCAGTTCAGCGTTTTGTTAAGCATGACTTTGTGTTACTTTGAGTCTGGGGGAATCTGCATTTTTCCGAGAGTATTTCTGCCAAAGGGGGGGGGGGGAAAGGAGGGTTGTCCAAGGTGGGAAAGGAAGAACAACAGGCAGACTTGTCTAAATGTATGGGATAAAGATATGACAGTAATCCAGGGGTGCAATGTGAAAGTGGAAACCCAGCCCAGAGGAGTTCGAAAGGAATGACAACAGTAAAAAGGCCCATTCAGTGGAGCGGGAGGAACTGATAGGCACGTGACTGTGAGAAGCAGTACAGCGCAATACGCCAGCTTACGCAGGGGTGAGGGGTGGTACATCCTTCCAGGTCGGAAGTCATCAATGCCGCCCACTCGAATCTCTCTACCATAAACAGGAAAAGCGTGAGTGTTTTGGATCTTGTACTTTGACTTGCCGGTGGAATAAGAACCGGACTGATGCTCCCCAGAATGGAAAAGGAGCCAGAATCATAGAGCTCTCTTTTCGGAACACAACAACAACAACAACAATACGCAGCAATGCAATCAAGTTCAACTCCTGAGCTCCATTCAAAATTGTTTCTCATACATCAAAAATTCAAAATTCACGATGATTGGCACAGCGGGACAAAAGGGGGGGGGGGGGGGGGGGGAGAGAGAGAGAGAGAGAGNGAGAGAGAGAGAGAGAGAGAGAGAGAGAGAGAGAGAGAGAGAGAGAGAGAGAGAGAGAGAGAGAGAGAGAGAGAGAGTTACCCAGATCAAAAAGAACTTCAGACAGGGAGAAGGTTTCTAAGATGTCTTCGTACAGGTAAACGGATTCTTATCTTATCCCCTCACAAAATGACAGCACCTGTTCAGCAAGGAGACCTGTTGGCAGCTCAGATATTCGTGTTTGTAACGAGGCAACAGCATTCTTTCTCTGAAAAGATTCGTCGACAGGAAGAATTGTCCTGGATAGTGATGAGAATGGTTACACAATATACCTCTCATCTCAACTGTACTCTGGTTTGTTGACGATCTGACAGTACTCGTCAGGGGAGCAAACTCGTTCATGCACCCTAACTGGTGAGATGCAGTGAAGATATCACATATTGGATCACTCTTCGCCAGTAACCCAAATCCTGGAGGGAATGCAATAGAATGGCTCTGACTACCCTATTGATGGAATATGTGCTTTAGGCGCTGTAGAGCGAAGAGGTGTAGAAGTCAAAGCTCCGGGAATTATTTCACATAAATATGTGCATGAACCAATGCAATAGGATTAAGTTCGCTTCCCTTTCCATTTCGGATGGCAGGGGGGAGCTATCACCAGGAAGTCACAGAAACAGATAAACTCACCCGACGCTTCCTCCCATTACGGCCAGTGAGCCCACAACAGCAAGGACTACTCCTATTTGAGAGGATTGACTGCCGGCTGTGCCCAAGCTTATCATGAAAGATCTTCTTATTCTAGGTACCTACCCCCCAAGTAATCGTGATATTAAAACAGAAGTCCGCCAGCTGTGCTCAACCTGGCAAAATGGCTGCCTGATACATACCGAGAACTGGCCTGGTCGCAGCTGATTGGCTTGATGGACACTGACATAAGATGCATATGGCACAGAATCGAAGGACTACCTAGTCAAGGACGAGCCAGGTTGGTTCGAGGCCAAGAAGGAAGCTTTTGCTGGAGGATGGCTGCCATAGGGCAAAATAGCCACGACAATCAACTGAGATGGAGGAAATGGGATGGTGCAGAAGGAATGCAACCTCTCTGGCAGTGAAACCTAGCCTCTTTTCTCCAGGATTCCTGTGGGTCACATCTAGCTGGTTGTGTCATGGTTATTGAGACTGAGAGGAACGTGAGGAGGGAAAGTTTATCCGGCATTCAATCCTCCAGGAATGGAGTAATCAATGCTGTTCAGGGCTCCTTCAGCCTCAACAACAAGAAGGAAGAGTTTGTGGGCATGTGTATTGTTTTTCTGACTTGCTGCTGGTGGAAAAGAAACCGGACTACTGCTCTCCAGAATGGACATGGTGTATTATGGAGCTAAGCCCATAAGGTCCTGTTATAGACGGGAGGGGAAGGGGGGAGACACTATGTTTGACAATGTTTACACAACTGGGAAAAGAGAACAGCTGGGCTCAACCCTCCTACACCTTTAACACCCGATGTCTGCAGATAATATTTCACCTCCTCTCATGCGATGATCAGCACAGGTCACAGTCCGACATCTTTGTATTCTTCTGATAAGCCATTGCCTTTTGAAGTTTTTATATCTTCTTGCTTAACTTTCTGTGTCTACCTGACAGGCCATTGCAATGACTTGCTGTTTTCTGGTCGCCTGTAGCCTCCCTCTGTCGAGGCTGTACTACAGGTAGGATAAATTTGTAATTTTGTTTGGCTGAGGGCTAACCGAGAGACCTATCTGTGAGGGAAATTCGTGAGGGACATATCTGCAAATTCGGGAAAAATGCAGGCCCGGTACTAACAGAATTCCCTACAGCCTACCCTAACTGCGAATAGCAGGCCCGGGCTACCCCTAGGACAGACAGGCCCTAAGGGCCTATTCTGATAGACGGTCCTATAGCCTATAGCCGGGTCGGGTAGAGGCCGAGAGGCCGAAACAGAAACGGTACCGGTCGGTCAGTCAGTCCGGTCTAGGTCGCGTCTAGGCTAGGTTAGTCTATAGATAGGATG